CCCCCCCCCCCCCCCCCCCCCCAAATCACTTTTCTAATGGTCCGTCCCTTACAGTATCCAAGAGCACTTCATTGTAGAATAGTCCCAATCGAAAAATTGAAAACATTAGTTGCAATTGGAAGGAAAAAACCTCTCGTAAACCATTTAGGTTCGAAATAAAAACAAATCATTTGAAAGTCACGCGCAATCTTCGCGAAAACTTCTCGTGGACACATGACAGGGGGGTGAACATTTTCACGAAACGTTTGTTCGCCACCACAGCAACCTAACTAAATATATTGTATTTATTGCATTTTTATGATTGATGACAAAACAACGCAAATATTTATTGTTTTTATTATCAATCATAAAAATACAATCATAAAATACAATAAATACATTTAGTTAGGTTGCTGTGGTGGCGAACAAACGTTTCGTGAAAATATTCACCCCCCTGTCATGTGTCCCGACGAGAATTTTTCGCGAAGATTGCGCGTGACTTTCAAATGATTTGTTTTATATTTTGAACCTAAATTTTTTACGGGAGGTTTTTTCCTTCCAAGTGCAACTAATGTTTTCAATTTTTCGATTGGGACTATTCTACAATGAAGTACTCTTGGATACTGTAATCTAAATACATATAAAAACGAAGAAGTGGCATTTATCGGGCAGAGAAGCGGCACAGAATAAGGCACACAGAAGGGCCACTTACGTCGGAAGCTTTGAAGTTTCTGTCACCCTGGCCGCCATCTTCCTAGCCAGTCGATTACATTTTCTGGCCAATGAACGCGCTGTATTGGCTGGCCGCCATCTTCCTAGCCAGTCAATTGCATGTTTTTGCATAGAAAAATGGGGACACGTTGCACCGCTGAGTGGCCCTTCTGGTACTGATCTTTATTCTGTGGAAGCGGCAAGCCATTAAAATGGCGGCAATTTGACGAAATATCGAAGGACGCAATATCGAAGATAAAATGCACTGCACTGTCTCACAACTTGATGAAACTTGGTTGAAATATTCTTTAGCCATTTATGATTATGTAAAAGTACAACAACTGGATGATATTTGCGAGACTCGGCGATAAAAAGCAAACAAGATTGGACGGCAAAATATGGCTGAAATCGTGTTTTCGTGGAGGGTAAGCGAAATAAAATGTATTATATTTAAAGAAAACAATGACAATCGTTATGAAATCCACAATAAATATATTGAATTAAGCATAGTTTTTCATCCCATGATAATTTTTTTAGGAAATAAGAAAATTTAATTTATGCCAGGCATATTAGTTATTTTATGCATAATTAGCAATTTACCTGGGGGTGGTGCATGGTCATTTTCTTGTAAAATATTATACAGTTAGACAGATTTTTACTTCCAATGACCACCCCTAAAAGCAACCCTTCTACACACTATAAGCACTTCATAAATGTTATCACTTTTCCTTTTTGGAAGTTAGAGCTATGTCGACACTGCCGTTTCAGGGCGGGGTCATTTTCAGGACTTTCGCCCCGGATTCAGGTTTTGGCACATATGCCATGTCGGCCATGGTCATTTTACCCTAAAACAGTTGAGATTACCTGCAGTCCTAAACGAAATGCATACAAACTCATATACAAATGCTAGACTAACTATCATTCGGCGCACGAGGACTAGCCATTGAACTATAAATAAACTGGAAGGTTAACTCAGGGGGGGAAATTGAAGCCAGTGCATTTTAGTTTTTCTGAGTTATGAGCAGAAATACTCAACACTGAACGTTGGGCTATATATCAAATTGAAGCTATTGAAAAACGCTATTTGGTGTAGAAATTTCAAGACTTTAGGTAAAAGGGAAATATTGAAAAACTACAAACATAATTACCGATAATTTGCCGTTTTGCAGTTGTTTTTGTATTTTTTAAATATTTTTCTTTTCGCTGAAGTCTTGAAATTTCCACACCGAATAGCAATTTTCAATAGCTTCAATTTGATATATCGCCCGACGTTTGGGGTCAAGTATTTCT